AGTAGCCTAGAGATGAATGGATGAAAATGGAAACTGGAAATTTGTAAGGCTTTTCAAAACTTTATCTACGCTGAAAAATGGGATTCGTTGGTGTGTCCATTCAAGTGGTAAGCTATTCAAAGCGAATATTGGAATAATCGTTCTACCAAGGCACCCTCTGTATTTGAACCCTGAGCCGTCGTTTTTTCAAATTTACGTTTACACCTCGGCTGTCAGGTGGGTCAAAGCGAACTAGCTTCGAAGTGCACGTATCAGGCAGCATGGTCGCACTTTCTGGCATAACCGCACCAAGGCACCCTGTTGTTCCTATTATTCACAGGTCAACAACCTGCTAACCTTTTACTGACTAGTTGCACTGAGTCACGGTTGGGCGATATGCTTGTTCAAGGGAATTAATAACTAATAAGAGAAGAGTTATGTCCTGAGTTGCTTCTGATCTAGGCACACTAAAGGGTAATAGAAAAACTAACTCACTGCGGCAATGTCCCACCCCCCCCCGACCACCCATATGCAAAGAAATAGAATACCACTAGCCCAGAACGTACCGAAGAAGCATTGCTTGCCGAATCAAGCCACGTTCTTACGGTGTTGCAAGCGACATGACACGCCTTCTCATTCGGATAACCGTAGACGCCGGTAGATATACAGGGAAATGCCTGAACAATAGAGAAAGCAAATGATTGCAGTTTAGCTACGGATATTAGATTGTAAAGAACTATGACGTACCACAGAGCGAAGCGAATGCAAAGCGCACAACTGGAGGCACTTCTCGTAGCAGCTTTTCAGCATCGGTGCCGACTCCCCGATGGGACCGACCGTGTGAATGACGTCTAAAAGCACATTTTTAAAGGTTAGCCAAGTTCTAATTAGTAAAATAAAAATTTTGCCAAAACGAAAAATAAAGTCAAAATAATACGATAAGTGCAGTGCAGCATATATAATGCACTCAGTCTCCAGTCACTTCTCCGGATTCGTACACGTAGTTGCACCGTCCACTGCTTCTAGTATTCTAGGAGACCGTTTAAGTAGGCCACTGCTTACTATTTCAGCATTTGCAATGAATGGGTACAAAACAGCAGCAATCTGCTGGGTCGAACAACATGTCTGAAGGCCAATGAATATTCTTATATCCGTAGATTCTTAGCAATTACAAATGCATAATTTTTTAATTATATAACATTCATTGTGTATACTCGACGTTAACAGACCACCGTCTTACCTTGAAGAAGATTCGAGGCAAAGCGTCGGACTTTGTGAAATGAAATGCCGAAACCGCACTTATATCTTGCGTATAAGTAAATTGTTTTGCGTCGTATATCACCGATTTTTGTATTTTTCGACATTAAAGAGGAACTATTTCTTCTCTTCGAGAACAACCATCAACCAATATTTCGACCTCCCCTTCCTTCAAGGTTATATATTTGCGCAGAGAAACCATTGTAGGATCACTTATGCTTTCATCTCATTTCTTCAGTGTAGAAAAGAACTGCATTTGCTCTGTATATTATACATTGATGTTTCACTAAACGAACGTCGTGAACTTTACGTCAGTGAAGGCTCATCATCCAACAAACAAGAGCAACCACCAAGTTTAGCTTATTCCACATTTGGCTTAACACCTTCAGAAGCTATAGTGTTGCGTATCGTCCCATTTCACGTGTAACCTGCGTTCAATCAAACTTTACTAAATCATTTAAAGAAGAAATATAATATGTCACTTCAGGAAAGTTTTGTAAATTAATTAAAATCCATTGCTTAGATCTCCCAGGGATCTGATTTAGAACACACTTCCTTGACTCTAAAACCAATACGCACAGTTCCACTGTATAAAAAGAGGTCATAACTTCAGTGCGGCATAATGTTATGCATCGATGAATTTCACAACCTCGATCAATATTGTTTTCAGCATTCGACTGCCCATTTTGTTACTTTTCTTTAGTCAAACATGAGTTGCGGCGATATCGTTAGGCTTATGCCCTTCTGGAATGCAGATTCGTATCCAAGCGTGGCGTAAATTTTGCATTAACCTTTAACAAGGAATTATGTGAATTCTCTAGCAGTGCTTCGATAGAATCAGCCCAAAAACGGACAGCATAATGGTCACTGATCTGCTGAATCACTGAGATAGTAGGTCTACTGTAGTATTACGGCTACATTCCGTCTTGAACTGTGTAACAGTTGACAAAATCGCTAGGTAATGATGCATATAAAGACCAGCTGTTGACATCAGTAAAGACGGCTAATAAAATAATAGTGTTCAGCTTTGCACGAATGGTGCTAGATGCCATGCAACCGTAACCTGCGTAAATGAAGCCACTTCCACAAGCAATAAAGCTATGCAGTAACACAGTAAACTTTTGCAAGAATGCATGTTTTCATCCCATCTTGGAGCTACGGTCCTGCATCCAATGAACTGCAAGTGCTTGAATACCAGGCAACCGTTGTCTGTTTAAACGGTCACCTAAACAACTAGAAGCAACGAGAACGGTGTGAATAAACCGAGTAAATCTGATAGCAGAAATTGAAATGTTATTGATATTAACACCGATTTTTCTAAACATGAAAATGGATATGAAGCAGAAAAGCTGATTGCATTACTGTCACTTTTTTGCAGAAAAATTAATCAAGCGATCAATATCTGAAATTCCATACATTTTGCAGGCAGATGGTAGCCAAGGGTGAGTTTCGCATCACCGGTGGGACAACCTCCCAACGAAGATGATTCGGCCAATAGTTCCGGTCCGGCTGCTCGGTGAATCGCTCCGTCCACTGTAACACTCATGATCAGGACGAGTATTACTGATAAGGTTACCTCCTCCGCCTCCCCGGAGCAATTCGTTGGCCGCATTGACGATGGCGTCGATTTCCAGCCTTGTAATGTCACCGCTCCAAAGACTGATCTTCTTGTTGATCTCTGGACACGCTTTAAACTCTAAAAACACAATCAGACGCTGACAACTTAGCTTGAAAAAATGATTTACTACACAGAGATCTGAGCACACCCTCACTTGAAATATTACTTAGATAAGGCGAAATAGGTATATTTCAGTGAATCTCTAAACACTGTCTACTGGGAAAAGGAAACTTCCTCATGACATGGTCCCTCAAGCCAGATTGACCGAACGACGCAGGTCAGGCCAGCCGCATTTTAACCAATACTGTACCACGGTAAGGTCAATGCAAAATTTTACCGTACCGTCGAAAAGCATGGTACGGGTTTCCTGCTACTCGTAAATGTGCCTGTTCTGTCATCGTAACCTGAGGCTAGCGAAGCTTAAGTAGCAGAGGAATCATAACATCTAATCGGTAGAAGTGGTATATTATATTAATACTGGAAATGTTCGCTGCTGTGACAAAGGCTGTATTACTCATCACAAGTAACTTTGCCTCAACGAAGCGATTCCAAGTTTTGTACCTGAATACTTGGAAAACAACCTTAAGATGCCGCTACCATACAACGAAAGAAATAGGAGGTTTTTAAAATAGACAGATCGACAGAAGTTTGAGTAAAAGTACTAAGTCTAACATGATTTTGACGTTAAGATATCACCAATCCTTGTCAATCTACTGCTGGATGTGGCTTCTCCGAAACTATATTCAGTCAGTCAACTTCACCGCTATATCTGGTAGTGATAATTAATTTTTCATCAAACAGTACAAGGTTTCAAACATAGTATGAAGGTGGCCTGTATATCAGAGACCAAGAAAACTAACTGACACAAGACGTCTTAGTTCTGGTCATAGCAGCCCCGTTTATTCTCGTTTGGTTTTTACCGAGATTTCTCAGTAGGTCAGAGCTCTGGTAAGATCACTTGCCTTTCTTCTAAGGTTGATAAATGAGTACCATTCTGAGGGATGGAAGCACGTGACCACATCATGCTTGCCAGGTACATAAATTCTCCCCTTTCGAAAAAATCAGGTGTTCCTGGCTGATGGTATAGAAGCAGAAATCAGCGACGCACTCTCAGATTGATGAAACGATGAGTGCCATAACTGGCATTAAATTTTTGCTGTTTAAATCGTGACCATTCAAGCAGTACCCTATCAGATTTTTAGCTCTTGAAAGGTATCATATTTCATGATCTTCGGATGCTAGTTTCTTCCATTATAAAGCTATCGCTAATACTCAGAAGTAGTAGTACAAATTTGTCAGAGTTGGTCAGAAGAAAATAGAAAAAGGAAAATCTGTCACCGTTGGAATGTCAGTCTTTTTTAACTTTCGTGTTTGGGCCACTTTGGCACTCTTTCCATTAAGTTGGTGATGCGGTTCTGACCATTATTTCTATGCCATCAGTCAAAAATATTTTATTCTTTAAAGGTGGAGTTTACAGCCATGTGAAAAGTGTAGCATGTAGTTTCTCTTTCCTTTACACAGAGTGACACTCATTTAACAACATCAGAATGGCGAGTGACCTTGGTGGGGCTTGAACTCAGGACCCATCGGTTCTGAATTCGACCACCTACCGATGGAAGAGTCCGTTTCTGAAGCAATGTGCGGTGAATTCCTTGCTGAAGGGAATTCATAAATAAGACAAAGATTGCCTTTGAGCGCAATCGATCACCGACACCATCGATGTTCGAAGCACACTTCTTAGACACTTTGCCAACGTCTGACTGAACGCATATGACAACTGATATACCAAATAACGACAAGCACCTTCTATACTCGAACCTCTCACAACGTTGATCATGGGTTCGCCCAACCACAGAAAAACATGTTGCTCAGTAGTCATACTCAGACTTTCATCGACGTTACATCATCCCGGCATTACCCCGTTTCCTCAAAGAATCTGGAGGAGTAAACAGGCAAGTGTTGATCTCGTTTTGTGTACCATAACGTGTCTGTTTGATTTTGTTCATTTATTCCTTCCACTCTGTTCAACGTTAAACTTATTTTTTCAACTGTTCTCGTCTACAGCATCTGCGATCTACCCGGTGACTTACAATGACTAGTCATCGTCATCTCTGTTGCGTTACTTGTTCATTTTCTCTTCCCTAGAGCATGTCTCCTTTAACAGGATAAAAGCTTGACTCAATTCCTCGATATTTTTTGGTCTTTTGTCAAGTTCTACATTATTAATCATAATTTCATAGAGACCTTTAAGGTATCATGCCACCTGATGTTCGATCTTCCTCCCTGTTTTCTCTGCTGACAGCATCAATGCTTCTTGAACCACATTTCCAACATACTTGTAGGATCTTCTTTTCAAAAGGACGAATCAATACAGGCTACTTTCGATCAGCTTTTCTAAACCTGGTGCCACACATAAAGTGCCCCCTACAAAAATGTTACGGATATAGTCTTTCTTGCTAACACAACACATCCATCTGAGCATTAGCATTCCCACGGAGTTCAACTGTTACCCACTGCCTTAATTCATTAGGGTTTGTAAAAATGGGCACTTAAGATCTAAGTTATGCTATAATAAATAAACAATACAAACAAACCAAATTTTAAACTAGAAGGTAACTAGAATTTACCTGAATGTACAGCGTTTGGAGTGTATTCTTCGTAAAACTGTTTGATCATGCTCAGAGGGACAAAGTTTGAGCCACATGCGTACAGGTTTCGTTTTTCTTCCAGCGACATATTCAAATATTTTTCTGAAATAGCCAATAAAGCAATGTTAGCCTATAATATGCCACCGCATAAACTAAGCCGAAAGGTTCAAACTGACCTTTCTGCCGATCCAAGTAGTCCGCCGCAGTTGACATCTTGCGAAGACAGTCAAAAATCTTCCGTACGTCGAAACGTAATCTCAACATATCCATAAAAAAGTTTGTATTTGTTAAAAAATAAATTAAAACTTCACAACCACGTTGATTCTTCGCACGATTCTACAAAACGAGTCACTAAAATCTGAGGACAACCTGTTAAGAACAGGTAACGCTATCCACTAGGCAAACAATGATTCAGATTCTTTATTTTACTCTCCTGATGATGAAACTTTGTAACGTAATAAATGTCTGACTATCTGTCATCATACAAACAACCGATCATATCCGAAATAAATATTTTTAGAATTTACTATATTTACAACAGAAATGCAATTTAAAGTAAACAAGGTAGTGCCAAGGGACATTGGTTTTAAATTGGTTAGTTTTACTCCTATTAAGGAAAGAAAATCACCATACCCCCCCCCTCCCATTCTCCAACTGGTTCGGTTCAACCAGCCGTAAGTTTGATTTTAAATTGCTAACCTGCAAACCACTGGGACAACATAGTGATCAGTTCTGAATGTCAGATTCTGCGATGCATCCGGCCATGATCTGGTGCATGCCCCCTCAGAACTACAATTCTCTTGGAGTTTTGACTAAAAACAGCATAAGATGCATACTGAAAACAGAGTAATCTCAGTCAAAACATCTGCCGACTAAGTTAGCGACATCATCATACAAATTTTGTACAGACTAATTTATGTCATTAAAAATGAATAAATGATCAGCATTTCCTTGAAAAGAATAAAAAGAGCCGCATGACAAAGTCGATCATCCCAATTAAAGGTAGGATAAATGAATTTCAGTACAATTACTGCTAATACAGACGATAAGTACCTGTTTTATAGGAAACGTGGAACAGACACTGAGGAAACCAAGAACACATACAGATTGAACAAAACAGAAATTTAAGGTATGAGTCATATAGATAAGGATTTAATGAAAAATGATTCTGTTCGGAACATGCAGCGATTTTACAAGTTTTGGAACTAAAGCATAAGTGTCTAAATGGCAGTCAAAATATTTAGTTTGTGCTAAAACCAAATGCCATTATTTAACGAAATTTGATATAACTGACCAAAACGTCCATACCGTAAAATATTAAGAAGCCTTCACTGACAGAAACGCAGGTACTTTCATTAGATTTAAATCCAGTTACCCGATTTTGATAATTAATCGAATTCAGTTGGATCAACTTTAATTTGAGAGCATACTTTGTGCTCCCCGATCGGTATATTTCACATATGTGCTGTTTCATGTTGTCGATGTGCTCCATAGAGGAGAACCCCATTCGGAAACGGCTTTTTTACAGCGAACACTTCCATTGGTTTTTAGATAGGTCAAGGATTACTTGGGTAAAGACCTTGCACAATTGTGAGATGGGTTAGCTTAATGGTCAGTGATGAGTCAAAGGTTTTTAAAATTTTCAGCATTACATTTCTTGAACAGAAGAATCATCAAAGAGTTCTTCAACACTCTGGCGTCTTCGTTAGGCTGAGGTATTCAGTAAATCGTTCGGCAGTATGATCTCTTATGACTTGAGATGTTGCAGCTGTGCGTTTTCCATGCCTAGATATCTGTGACTCTTGATATTCTTGATTACTCGCTCTACTTCGTTCAGCATGACGGAACACTTGCGGCGGCGTCCGATCCATTTATACTTTCGAGGAATAGCGCCTATTGCAAAAGCCGATGTAGAGAGCTGTCATGCGACATCGATCTTTAGTTATTGTTCTGTTCTTTTTTCGTTCATTTGTGCTACTTGAATCAACTTTTTAGGGTGATGGTTTTTCCACGGCCTTCACACCATTTTTCTTTCTGTAGGACTATTGTTATATTGCATTCGCCACAGTCATTTCGAATTTTTTACCTTGTCTCTTTGCATGCAGTACATTCATTGTCCAGCTATCCATGAGCTTCCATTTTGGTGCTTTTGACCAAAATGACCTGATTCCAGGGAAATGTGTCGTTTCCTCTTCGACATTGATGCCGAATTGGATAACTAGATAGTAGTTGCCTTGTTCAGCTAGTGAAGTTTGTCTGCGAAGTCCTCAAGATTGAATATTCGTCTAATGGCATCTGGTATTCGAGCCTTTATTATACGCGAATACTAAAAAAAATGCAAATAACTCCTTCAAGATTGTATTTGATGGTGGCACTGCTCTCTTGCTCCTAACTGCTTGGGTGGAGTGACAGTCAAGGAGGCAATGCCTCTACATTGCTGGTGCATTTGCAATGCCAGATCCATCATATATCCATTTGTTCGCATAAATCTCGACGGGCATGTTGCAAGTGACGTTTAAGTGGTTGGTACTTTCACAAGGGAGGTGCTGTTCAAAAAGAGTTTACGGTTATATCTACGGACTGATTTTCAGTTAAAGTTCGATATATTTATTTGAATGTATATTTTTATATTATTATTTTTCGTAGTTCAGATTCAACTATTGCGCAACCACGGATCTATGCAGAAAATGATGCGCAACAGAAAGTAACAGCGTATCTCATGACTGCAAGCAAAACCTTGGTAGAATTAAGCATGGGGCAGCATTTGTTTACAGTTTTCTGTTGGATGACGAGTTCCTTTTTGTGCCTGAAACGTTGCTTTTACACTAAAATTTTTTTTATAACAAAGTTCAAAGACTTAGAATTTAGACCGTTTAAATTTATGTGTAAGAATAGTTTTATGGTCGTCATATGACAAATACGGTTGGCGTTCCTACGAAATTGCTTCGTATATAGACTTAACTGTAGAAATCACCGACGTTCCGGGCTGTAATAGGCTCCTTGGGAAGACAGTTTAGCGATATTTGTTTTAATTGGTCTTTGATGAAGTACACGTTAAACCTATACATTCATCGATTGGAGACTTCCTCCTAAAAATGCATTAACTACTATATAACTTATAAAGAACTGATTATGAAATATGTTTGTTACTGCGCTAGATCTGTCTATTTTTATTTGCAAATTCTGCGTAAGCCGCTACGGCTTGCTGTTAACGATTACTCACTGTGCCAAAGGAAGGTCTGTTTAATATTATCTGGGCGCAATCATTTTTTGCATGATCACTGAAGAATTCAATCATTAATGTAATATTAGTGTAATGTTTCACTCTCGCTTTGTAGATGAGGTGAAGTACTGCATCGCATCCGTTGATTCTTGTGACTGATTAGAGCTATTGTACGAATCAGGAATTTTGTAAAATTGTTATGACTTGGTTTATGTACCTGCTTTCCGGTGGGATCTCAAATCAAACTTCAAAAAATCTACTGTCTCAACTGCAGTTCCTCTTGCAGTCTAATCACAACGTCCTAGATTGCTTTTTGCTGTTCTTTGCGCTGCTGCTTTGTTTGAGGCATGTTATTTTGTGTTTTTTGAACTGCTTTTCCTTACTCTGTCATGAATCTGAATTGTGTTTAATTTATCTCTCTTAACTTCGTATTTCTGTTGTGAATGCCATAAGCTGTTTAGAGATTAAAACAAAAAATATTATGCAAATAATGATTCATTTGTAAAAATTTTTGTTAAATTGACAATTTTAAGCCATACCGGTGACACCTGTAAAATGGAGCGACGTTTTTGTCAAAATAATGTTTGTTATAACATCGCAAGGTCGATGTCGATGCGCTTTGGGACTCAGATCTTCTGCTTGTTTCTTCTGACAATATTCACTGAGATTTTTCTGCCATTTTGTGAGATCGCCAAAATTACCTCGGTAGTGAATGGTGTTTGTGTGTCTTGTGTCACTTCAACGTCATTCCCCTATGATAACGTATTATAATGACATAACGTAAGCGCAGACAAAAAATGGGCGCGTAATAAACGCATGTCCGCGTGATTGAAATGGTTACTGACTAATTCGCCCAGTCAAAAATGCCCAAGTGCTAGGAGTATCATTTCACCGTAGTTGCGGTGATGAAGAAACCTTACACCCGCACATCAAGCTTCAACCCAGTTTCAACTTTGAACTTCATTACAGTTGCTAATGAAAGCGGTCATATCAGTTTCACAAGTCATGTCGCTAATACTGTGCTGTTTTTGGCTAAATGTCGATGATTTCGGCCTAAATACCTTTTCAGGTCCTACGTT